CTAAGAGGACAAGCCGACCTAAACGAAGTCCGTAAACGTGTCTCTTCCGAACTCGACAACACGTCATATTTTTAGGGTGTGTTAGAGTTTCTGTCGGGCCCAGTTTCTATAAATGAGAACCTTAGCCTTAAATGCAAGGTACGCAATCCTAGGTAGACTTGGCAAGTTAGCTCGGACCAGAACTAACTTGTTCGTTGGAGTGCTAACTTTATTTTGCAGGTCTCGAGAGTGTTTGGAGGGGGTGCTGGGCAGTTGGTCGTAGTTTGTCCTGACCGTTCCGATCTACTTCGTACCCGAGCTCACCAAATTCGAGCTTAAACAATACTAATGGTTATTATTTTTTTGGTGAAATATGAAATGTACAGTAAATGTGAAATTTGAAATATTAAAATACAATTAAGATTTTAACCTAAATTTATTAACATGTTAAAAAAAACAAAAAGAAAGTGCCAATCTGAGCTTCCTACATTCGTTCGTTAATTTTTGAAAGCAAAGCTATAGGATGAGACGTGTCACGATGTGATTGAAAGATCATCTCAGATGAGAATAGTGCCCGCCGTAGACGATAACAACTTCCAAAATTTTCTACACTCATCTGTGACCACCGTGAACACAACACCATCGAGCGATTCCCTACTCGCCACGTGTACTTTTCACCACGTGGCCTCTGGTAATTGGGTGGATGACTCCGCGCTTTCCACGTTGGATCTTCTCATAAATCCCAGAACTTCCCTCCCTCGTCTCAGTATTACTATTAGTAGAAGGCGAAGAACGACGAATTTGATTTTCTTTCAACTTTTTTCTCGTCAACCAAACGAACGGAGAAGCTCCTTCCTGGAGAATGCGATCCACGGTTTGCTGCTCGCTTTCTCCTTCTGTGTGGCCATTGTTCCTGTTTGTTTTCTAAGGCTTCTTCGTGATCCTCGTTTGCGGTTTGGTTTCCGGAGCCTCTGCTTTCCCGGTAGATTTTATGAATGTTGTTTCAATTTTCGTGCTATATGATGATTTTTGATTCGAAGTATTGTTCTGTTTGATTTATAATGCGCTTTCTGTGGAAATGAACGAAGTTGATTGAAACGTATGTTTGTTGTGGTTTTTCTTGTTCTGTGCTGTTTGGGCAGAGCTGAAGAGTCTGAGCTAGAAAATGGTGTCGATCTCGATGAAGTTCGGGTTATCGTTATTCGTATTTTCTCTAATTTTATATCCGTCGGATTCTGCGGTGTCGAGCATAGATCTGGGCTCTGAATCGATTAAAGTTGCGGTCGTTAATTTGAAACCTGGTCAGAGTCCAATTTCGATCGCAATCAATGAAATGTCGAAGCGCAAATCGCCGGTCTTGGTATCTTTTCAATCAGGAACTCGTCTACTCGGCGAGGAAGCGGCTGGTCTCGTTGCGCGGTATCCTAGTAAGGTGTTCTCCCAAATCAGGGACATGGTTGGGAAACCCTACAACTATGCTAAAACTTTGACAGACTCATTGTACTTACCATTTGATATTGTGGAAGATTCGAGGGGTGCTGTTGGATTCAAAACTGATGACAATGTGACTGTTTACTCGGTTGAGGAATTGTTGGCGATGGTTTTGGCTTATGCTTCGAATTTAGCGGAGTTCCATTCGAAAGTGCCGGTGAAGGATGTCGTAATTTCTGTGCCACCATACTTTGGACAAGCAGAGAGAAGTGGGCTACTTCAAGCAGCGCAACTGGCTGGGATAAACGTGCTTTCATTGATCAATGAACATTCCGGCGCAGCGCTACAGTACGGAATTGATAAGAATTTTTCCAATGAGTCGAGGCATGTTATTTTCTACGATATGGGTTCAAGCAATACTTACGCGGCGCTTGTTTATTTTTCATCGTACAACGCGAAGGAGTTCGGGAAGACTGTGTCAATTAACCAGTTTCAGGTAATTATACTTCACAATTCTTTTGTAGACCTTGGTATTGTTTTTTAATATTAACTAATTATGTCTTATTCACTTTCTGCAATCTTGAAATTGTTAATTTTTGTCTATATGTTATTGTTGGTAAAAAAAAAAAAAAAGATCTCGTGTACCTCCCCAAGACGGATACAAATTTTGTCGATAGTTTGTTGTTAAGAGTTTAGTTAATTTCACGACCAAGGGTTCGGCTTGGTAGATGAAAGGATTCACCTGGTAAGATTAAAAAAGTATTGAGGTATTGTACCATACAGGGTGATCTGGTGAAAAGGCTCACTTTATAAAAGATCAATGATGCAAGCCAGGCTACTCTGTCAAAAATGTTAGATGAGATTAAAGTCATAGACGCTTGTTATGAGTTATGCTCTTTCATCAGATATTATTTGCAAGAGAGATGATCCATCACATAGAGCTACTACTACATAGTTTATTTGTGGTGATTAATAAATGGAATATTATTGTCACTGTTATCATTTAAGTGTTTCAACGGGAAACACTTGAAGGGACAACAGCCTTCCAAAGTTGATCTGAAATATCTTCGTCAATAATGATCTTATTTAATAATGCTGCCAGTGACTATCCACCGTTATGGTTCCATTTATTTTGGAGTGCCATCCCATATGCAGTTTTTCGTGCCATGTGACATAAAATGTTCTTGTTCCTTGCATGTTTGAGGCCACTATTTGGGGAAAATATTAACCTTCCACCACGGTTCTTGTTACGAGCACTTTGTCTTCTGCATTTTGCGCCTTGCCATATCTTATTAATTTGGGCATGTTGTGTAGGTGAAGGACGTTAGATGGGACCCAGAACTTGGGGGCCAGAATATGGAATTACGGCTGGTTGAATATTTTGCTGACGAGTTCAATAAACAAGTTGGAAATGGTGTGGATGTAAGGAATCATCCAAAAGCTATGGCAAAATTGAAGAAACAAGTTAAACGAACCAAAGAAATTTTGAGTGCAAATACAGCTGCTCCAATATCAGTTGAGTCTCTCTTTGATGATCGAGATTTTAGGTGAGTAGAGCTCAATTGCTTTTTATTTCATCAGACTTCTCTTCCTAATGAATCATTTATGGAATATATATCTATATACAAATACACATTTTGACAATTTAGGGCCCATTTGGTAATGTTGTCATTTCTTGTTTTCTATTTTTTAATAAAAAATATAGAATTGCATAGTCCCAACACCCATAGATTCAAGAATGATAAAACAATATATATATATTTTTATAAGAAACTTAGAGAAACTTTCATTAATCACAGAAGAAAGATACAGCAAACGGGCTGGGGTAGAGGCAACCCCACCCAAAAACTAGACCAACTCTTTCCAATTGTTCATGAACAAGGAGAGGTTGATATTACAAAAGAATTTTCCGTARTTAATACACCACCAAGAAGCAGTGTGCTGTACATTCCTACAAAAAATGTCAAAAGRGCTGATTCTATCCTCGAAGACCCGAGAGTTCTTTTCTATCCAAAGATGCCATAAAAGGGCTCTTGAAGCACACTTCCAAATCAAGTTAGCCTTCTTTGGAATCATCCACCCATGGAGAATTTCCACCAACCAATCGTCAATATGTTTTGGGAAGCATGTCGCCACCCCAAAAATATTCAAAAGGAAATGCCATCCTCTTGCCGCGAAGTGGCAGTGAGAAAAAATATGATCAATGGTTTCGCTACTTTCATTGCAGAGGCTACAAACTAAAGGGGACATCACCCAGTTTCTGCACTTCCTTTGGAGTAAGTCATGTGTGTTGAGACTTCTGTGGGCTAAGGACCAGAGAAAAACTTTAACCTTCTTTGGAGCTTTGAAATTCCAAACCGCCGAGATGAGAGGAGATCTTAAAGAAGGTTGCACTCCCCCATTTTTATCCTCGCAGTACGAGTAGAAAAAAGCCCGTTTTTTCCTAGAGACCAAACAACATGGTCTTCTCCTTCCCCAAGCCTCACCACATCTATCGTCTAAATAAGGTTGATCCAACTATCAACTTCCCAGTCAAAAAGGCCTCTTCGGAAGCCCAAATCCCAGTCATTCTCACTTCCATTCCAGCAGGCAGCAACCGTGGCCTCTTTTTTCGTGGAAATATTAAACAGATCAGGGAACCTATCCTTGAGGGGCCTTTCTTCAACCCAAGTGTCCAGCCAGAATTTAATACGAGTCCCGTTCTGCACTTTGAAACTCAGAAACTTGAAGAAGAAGGTACTATTTTTGGCGATTTCATACCACGGTCTGCCTCTAGCACTACCTTTGGGAGGGAGAGTACCCCATTCGTATTTGTCCTCACCATAAATACTGACTATCACTCTCCTCTATAAGGCGTGTGGTTCTTGAGTGAATCTCCAAAGCCACTTTAGAAGGAGGCTATTATTTCGCTGCTGTAGAGCCCCTATACCAAGCCCACCACACTGCAAGGGGAGGCCTGTTTTCCCGCAATTTACCAGGTGGGTGCAAGCCCCTTTAAGAGTTCCTCCGTTCCAGAAGAAGTTTCTAGTCAACCTCTCTATCTCCTTAACAACCCCTTTCGGAGCTTTTAGAATAGAGAAAAAATAGAGGGGTAAACTGGTAATAACCGACTGAGCTAGAGTTAACCTTCCCCCTCTCGAAAGAAGGAGATTCTTCCACTTTTCAATTCTCTTCTTCACTCTCTCAATAAGAGGTTCCAAAAACGATTTCTTCTTAAAATTACCTCCCAGGGGAATGCCTAAGTAGGACACCGGAAGTTTCTCCACTTTACAGCCCAAGCTCCTGGCCATCTTCTGAAGGATGTCTTCCTCCACATGAATCCCAATTATAGAAGTTTTACTCAAGTTCAAAGACAAACCTGAAGCATTAAGGAATATATCCAATACCATCCACCATCTATCAAGCAAACCGTGTTCGTTTGGGCAGAAGATCATAGTGTTGTCTGCATACTGTAGGTGAGAGACTTCAACCTCCTGCTTAYCGACCCCAAAACCTCTGATCAATCTTCTTTGGATGCAGAAGTGSACCATACGGCTAAAAGAATCACCTACAATTGTGAAGAGGAAAGGGGAAAGAGGGTCCCCTTGCCTCAACCCTCTTGTAGCGACAATCTTTCCTCTCAGTCTACCATTTATGATGATGGAAAAATTTGTTGAAGATAAGCAGCCATTAATCCAATTCCTCCATCGGGCGCCAAAACCCAACTTCTCCAAAACAGCATTAATGTTAGTCCAATCGACCTTGTCGTAGGCTTTCTCATAATCAAGTTTGAGAATGCAGCTAAATTATTTCCTAGTCTCCCAGTCCCCCACTGCCTCAGAAGCAACCAGAATCACGTCTATGATTTGGCGGCCCTCTATAAAGGCCGATTGAGTATCATGAACAATCTTTGGAAGAACCTTCTTGAGCCTCTCAGCCAAAACTTCGAGATAATCTTGTACAAAGAAGTCACAAGGCTAATCGGTCTGAATTTCCCAACCCTTATGGCCTTCGTCTTCTTCGGGATTAAGCAAATATATGTCTCGTTTGTACAACGGTTGATGATACCATTTCTAAAAAAATCTTGGAACACCCCTAGCAAATCATCCTTGAGGGTGTTCCGAAGATTTTTTAAAGAATTCATTAGTGAAGCCATCCGGACCCGGGGACTTCAAATTTCCCAGATTGAAGACCGCATGTTTAATCTCTTACATGTCAAAAGGTCTTTCGAGCCAAGCTTTCCAGTTCTCCTCAAGGCCTCCCCATTGCARATTTTCCACCAAGAACCTATGCCCTGAAGTCTCCCCATACAGACGATGGTAGAACCCTACAATCTCCTGCTCAATATCTTTTTCTGCAGTAAGAAGCTCCCCATACAGCCAAGATTTGATTGATGTCCCCATGAAGAACGGTTTATTTACCTGGTCTGCTGTAAGGGAGAGATCGGTAGCCACCCGCATAGACAGATTCTTCCTTTCTCATAGCTGGATGGAGGCTTTCAAAGAGGCGGAGTTAATTAGGCTCCCAAGAACGACGTCAGACCACTTTCCCTTGCTCCTAAAGATAGGAAACCAGAAATGGGGACCGATGCCTTTTCGTTTTGAAAATATGTGGTTAGACCACCCCACTTTCAGGGAAACGGTTGAATCCTGGTGGACTTCCCTACCTTCTGAAGGCTGGCCGGGATATGCTTTTATGGGAAAATTGAAAGCTCTTAAAGCCTTGCTCAAAAAGTGGAACAAAGAGACCTTTGGGGTGGTGGAAGATAGGCTAAAGAATTGTGAAAACAGAATTGAAGCCTTGGATCAATTAGAATTGGATGGCTTGATTTCTGAAGTTGATAGAAAAGACAGAGAGGAGCTCAAAAAGTCCTACTTGGATTTAGTAATCAGTGAACATAGAAAGTGGGCTCAAAAATGCAAGTTATTGTGGCTAAAAGAGGGGGATGAAAACTCCAGTTTTTTCCATAAATGGGTGTACGGCTAGGAAGTCTAAAGCTTGTATTTCAATGCTAGAATGATTAAACAATATTTTTATTTATGTTTTGGAACAAATTGAAAACGAGAACAAGAAACAAGAAACAAGAAACTTAGGGCTCGTTTGATAACGTTTCAGTTTCTTGTTTTTGTTTCTTCATTTTTAATAAAGAAAAATTGGGTTCAACATCCATGAATTCAAGTGTGATAAAACAATTTTCTTATTTATGTTTTGGAACAAATTGGAAATGGGAACAAGAAAGAATAGACTTGTTTTGGTTGTTTTCAAAATTTCTATACTATTTTGAGAATGTTCCCAAAAAAGGAGAAACAAAAGACATAGTTAGTTGCAAAATGCTTAGATTTCTTAAGAATTCTGGAAACAAGACACGAGAAACGAGAACGTTACCAAACGAGCCCGGTACCATTGGTGAATATCTTACATCTATAGAGAAAAAAGCACTTTGGAAGAACGTGTGAATTATCTTGGTTTATCTGTCATGTATGTTTCTATATTGCTGAAAGCACTAATTTTGCGTGATAGCTGTCTCTTTCTTATTAACTGCATCCTCTGTGTGCATCCGTACCCAATTTCTAGTCACGTAGAACCTTCTGCTCAATTACCCTGATACTTCTCTTCTCTTCCCAGTTAGGTTTTCATTGTATACTTAAGTATTTAAGTATTAGTTTCTTGAAGCTTTGCTTATTTACCTTGTAGCACATCCACATTGAAATCTGTAAGTCTTGCATGGTATTATGAGTTTATGAAGTCCTTGGCCCTAGGACTTATGGATATTGTTGCATTATACTGAATTTTTTGATAATCTGTAAAACATTTCTATTTCAGGAGCACTATAACACGGGAGAAGTTTGAAGAGTTGTGTGGAGATTTGTGGGAGAAATCTCTTTTACCTGTGAAAGATCTACTAAAACATTCAGGTTTGAAAATGGATGAGATATATGCGGTGGAGTTGATTGGAGGTGCTACAAGGGTGCCAAAATTGCAGGTCAGAAATTAGAACTGTCCGCTTCTTTGTGTTTAAACAATATTTTGTAGTTATAGCTTTTATTTGTGTGTTTACTTTTCAATAATCATCTTGCAACCTTCAAATATGACCGTGAATTTCTCACTCTCCATGTTCTGCTCTGATTTTGTCATTGTAATTTCTGAATAGAAATATTATATTAATGATGATCTGTTCATTGAATCTTCTATGGAACTTCCACAGTGCATTAATACATGTTACCTGTTTGATCTGCGTTTCATGTTCCAAAGTCGAAACCAATGAAGGAAAAGAAAGTGACAATTTACATATTTTCGACTAAACCTTTATGATTTATTCTAAGTTAGACTTAAGGTGTTATACTTTCCTTCTGGTATGCTCCTACATGCTATGGAGTGTGATCACACACTTCTCCTCCTAAAGGTTTTTCTTCTAAAATAAATTCCGATTATTATTGTTAATTTTAATAAAAAAACGACTGTATCATGTCTCCGTTTATTATCAAAACAGATCCAACAGTTATGGTACAATGTGCAGCTATCAGTTTAAGGTTGTTTGCCTCTGTGAATGATCAGCATTTTTATTTCTCATTATTGGTTTAAACTAATATAGATTGGTAATAGTCTGTTAGCTCTTTAATTTTGCTTTTTCAATTGGGACTTTGTCAATTTTCCCGATGAGTGAGAACAATTCCCTTTTCTTCCCTCTGACAGGCAAAACTCCAGGAGTTCCTTGGAAGGAATGAGCTGGACAAACATCTTGATTCTGATGAAGCTATTGTACTTGGTGCAGCTCTCCATGCTGCTAACTTAAGTGATGGAATCAAATTAAACCGAAAGCTTGGAATGATTGATGGCTCTTCCTATGGATTTGTTGTAGAGTTAAATGGCCCTGATCTTTTAAAGGATGAGAGCAGTAGGCAAGTGCTTGTACCACGCATGAAGAAACTACCCAGTAAGGTAAATGCATGATTTCAACCTATAGATTAATGCATGAATTTTCGTTGAAGTTTCTTAAATATTTTTCTTACTGTGTGACGTTTTGTATGTGTCATAGATGTACAGATCAGTTGTCCATAATAAGGATTTTGAAGTTTCACTTGCATATGAGAATGATCTTCTACCACCTGGCGTCAGCTTTCCTGTATTTGCTCAATATGCCGTTTCTGGTTTGACGGATACAAGTGAGAAGTAAGGACTGCTAATTACCTGAACAAGCAAAATATTTAATTGTCTTTAACTGTCCTTTCAAGTACTAAGTATGGTTCCAAATTACATACCGTTTATTGCTTGCTGGATTTTAGATCTCTTGGTTTGTGACTGTTTTTTGATGTATTGTTTAGGTATTCATCTCGGAATTTGTCATCTCCCATTAAGGCAACTTTACACTTCTCTCTCAGTAGAAGTGGAATTTTGTCTTTCGATCGGGCTGATGCTGTTATTGAGATATCTGAATGGGTAGAAGTACCTAGAAAAAATATTTCAGTTGAAAATTCTACGATTTCTTCGCCCAATGCAACAGTTGATGATTCTGGAAATACTTCAGAAGGAAAGAATGACACCTTGATCCCTGAAAATGCTGGGATTGGTAACACATCCGACCCCAGTGTAGGAGAACAAAGTACAACTGAACCCGCTACTGAAAGAAAGCTGAAAAAGCGAACTTTTAGAATTCCACTAAAGGTCAGTGCAGTGACTATTGTATTGCGAATTATTTAGTTAATTAGCAACTAGACCTTGATTGCCTTGTAGACGTTATTTTGATGTTAGTTTTAAAGTATGCTTTTCTCGTCATGGTCATTCATTGTTTTATTATATGATCTACAGATTGTTGAGAAGACTTTGGGACCAGGAATTGCTCTTTCTAAAGAATCTTTTGCTGAAGCCAAAAGTAAATTAGAAGCACTGGACAAAAAGGATGCGGAGAGAAGAAGAACGGCTGAGCTTAAAAATAACTTGGAAGCATATATATACGCTACCAAGGAAAAGGTTGGGGTTCCTAAATATTCTTACTTTCCTCTACCGATTTTTTATAAAAGAACCTATTAGTTAAAAAATTATGAGTTTCTATTTAGAACTAGAAGAAATAACTGTCT